ACAGAAAACCGTCGGAAAACACTAAGGGAATCGGGTCATCGCGCGGGTCAAGGGGAAACCCGGCCCCTTCCCCTCATTTTGCTCCTCCCTCCTTTCCCTCTTCTCTGGTAAGTCCGTTCTTTTCTCTCTCATCTCCTCATTCCTCCACTTCTCTCCTCTGTTCCTCCTTTATTTCCCATCTGCACCACCCATATTTTCTTGCTTCAATCTCAGCCACACACGTGGCATGACCAGATTAAACTCCAGAAATCTGGAGTTTTCTAGAAAATATTAATTTACAATTTTACCCTCAACTTTAAACATTAATATCTCCTTTTGTGCTCCGTTTGTGCCCACACGTTCGCAGCTACGAGTACTACGAGGATACGCCAAGAAAATGAACCTTACATGACACGACAGTCAACAAAAGACAACACTTTGCCTCGAAGGCATTTTTGTAAACTCACTTATAAATCCTAATTTTTAGGGACGGACTGTTACACTAAATACACACACACACACACACACACACACACACACACACACACACACACACACACACACACACACACATGGGTACGTTTATCAAAACTAACCAAAAAATTATTGTACCAAAACATGAGTACATTTTTCAAAAACACAAAAAGAAAAGAAGATATTATGCTTAATAACATTATTAAATTTCTTCTATTATACTGGACATAATAACATTATTATGCTTAATAACATTACATTCATGTGGAAACTGATTCCAAGGTTCTTGTGGATATGGTTCATGGGAAGCTGCAACCTGATGCAACTATGGAAGCTATTTTGTGGGATATTAATCTTATTAAGCAACAATTTTGTTCTATTGAGGTTAGTTACACTCCTCATGTCTGTAATGAGGTTGCGCATCTTGTGGCATTTTATGTCACGCGTATGGGGGGAGCGCATTCTTGGGATGAGTTTGAGCCTGAGTGGTTGTTCAACACTCTAGATCTGATGTAAATATTTCAATTAGTATTTAATAATATCTACTCTTTGACAAAAAAAAGTAGAATGTACCCATAAAAGTTTTAAAAATGGATTAGAGAAAAGATTGAATGAATTTTATATAAAAAAAGGTACATTTTATATTAAAAAAGGGTACATTTTATATTAAAAAAGGGTACATTTTTCATATAATTTTTTTTTATATTTTAAGAATGAGAACATATAATTTAATGAGTGCAAACTTATTCTAATTTTATTTTTTATATTTTGGAAATGTTTGAATCGAAAATTAATTAGGAGTTTAATAAGGGTGTGAGTATTAAAACTCTAAATCAATTAATAATTTTTATTATAAAAATTATGTAACCTATTTATTAATATATTAATGATAAAAAATTTGATTAAAATCTAAAAACTGATAAGATCTTAGTCAATAAATAATAGAAACTAGGTACTGGATACTAATTTTCCCTTCATTTTTATCCTCCATTTCCATTGGCCCATATTTTTTCCAAAAGCTATGGTGTGGCGGCTGCAATAACATTCAACCAAGAGCTTCGCCCCATACTTGTGGCCATCACTTTTTAATAGTTTAATAAAGTATGCATCATTGTCTAAATTATAAATTAATATTACAAACCAACTCGTGATTTAGTCGTGTTTTCCTTCTTAATATTATAATATGTTCTTTTTTTAAATTCTCTTCTTGCCTTGTCAAACATTAATAATACTCTTTTTCCCTTACGCATTTTGAATTTGTCTAGTTTTGAAGTTGAATAAATTAACAAAAAAAAAAAAAAACTAAGAAACGAAAAAGAAAAAAAAGGTTAAAAAACATCTCCAACAAATTCCATAAATCTACTTTTGACTAAATTTGTAGAGCCACATCTTCAAAACTTGCTCCAAGGGACTCTACAAAGTGGCTCATCAAAATTGGGACTCAATTCTTTCTCTCTACGAATGTGTAGTGTGAGAAAGTCACTCTACAAATGTTTCTTTGCAATAATAAAATAAATAAAAAAAGGAACAACACACGGCAATTATACCAAAATTTATAAAGTAAAGAAATCAACACTTTTGTACTGGATGCTGTGATTGGCTCATAAATTAGTGATTAATTATAAGTTGGCAACAATTTTGCATAAATAATTTTGTGAATGCTACAAAGAAATGGCAGCAGTCATTTGTGATTTTGTGTTTGCTTTCGGTCATGGCGTGGAAGTCTTTGTTCAAGAGAGACATGATGATTGCCACAAGCAAAGTTGAAAGCAGGTCTTGATGCAATTGTGCATGCTTTCTCTTATATATGCCTATAACCAGATGCAATATTTGTGCATTTGGTAAGCATTTGAAGGAGAACACAGAGGAGAGAAAATTCATGGGGTAGACTGAGCTCTTGGGGAATTTTGTGAGTGGGTGTATAAGGGATTCGAGTTTGGGTTATATCAATTTTACATAAGTATATATCTTGTACTAGTTATCCTCATAGTGAAAAAGCATTATCTTTCCGAGAACGTAGACAACAATTTGTCGATCCTAGTAAATTTCTTAGTGTCTTTATTTATTGTATTTTATTCTATTCAACTGTGGGTTTGTATTTTGGTGAGGTTGTAATTTGAATTTCGGTTCCACACTACACTGACTGGCCAAAGCACAACAATAAATGTATAAAATAATAAAATATGCAGAATCTGTTGGACTGCAAAATTGTGAAGTACTAAATTTTAGTCTTTAAACTGTCACGTAGATAACAAAATGTAATCAAAGAGTCAAATTTGTAATATCTCAAAGACTCTCAAAGAAAACAGAAGTGTTTTAAAATATAAATAAATGATGGGTTAGATTCTGATGACACACGTTTTTGTGGGATCTACTCAGCAATGTATTTTAACAATCTAATCGTCAATCTTTTATGGTTTATCTCAAAGACAACATATGTCAAAAATCACTCAAATCCGAAACTATATGATCGTTGAATTAAATTTAGCGTTTCTTTGTAGAACCGTATTAGTCAATTTTCTTCACTCCAAATGAATGTCTTTATGATTTTGAATTTTTCTAATTTTTTACAAGAATAATCTATGAATAATTTACTAAAATATAAACTGCTCAGATCGTTGAAATGCAGTACGAAGTAGGCCACTTAGTACTACGGTCTAGTAATATTCCTCTTCACTTGTAAGTGAGAGGTCTTAGGTTCAATTCTCGCCAATGATGAATTTGAGTCACATTATTGCTAGCTTATTGTGATGCTAAACTCATATCTTCTCTCTTAGTTTAGATAATATTGTTTGTCAAAAAAAAAAAAAAAAGTGTGTAAAAAACATGTGTTCCCGAATCCTAATTCATAAATGAATATTAGTGCTTTGTTGAATACCAGTACAAGTGTGGCCTATATGTTTTAGATTAAATCTCAACCACAATCCTTCTATAGATCGAAGTCATCAAAATGGTTGGATTACAATTTACGAAGGTAAACATCATAGTCATTGTTGGACCACTCATGATTTTTTGTAAACAAACTTATGTGGTTTCCAGTCATCGTAGAATTAAAAATAGAAAGCAAAAACAATTGAAGGATTGAGAAAAACAAAAAAAAATTTAGGATGTTGGAGACCCATCCTTATATGGAGACTCTATCTTGTAATCACCGGAAACACACCGGCATCTCTATAGCACTTATTACGTGATGAAATTTGAACATGATCAGAAGAAAATTTAATTATGCAAGAGTGTTATAAAATAGAATCTAATCACGTAATCAGTATTATAAACGTGTGAATGTGTAAGCTCACGATACCCAAAATTCTCCACCATCTTGGTCTCTATGTCTCACCACAAAAATCTAAATGGCCATCGACACATCCGAAGATGGAAACTACTTTATCAATAAAAAGTAGTTGGAAACTTTGTTAATCTAATTCATAAAGGTGCGGTAGCTGTACCACCATTTTCTTGCAAAGATCTGTTTATATGCTCCTTCCTCTGGTTACCAAACAACCAGCGACACGACAAAGATTCATAGAATGATAGGCTTGATAGCCAGAGATCTTGGTGTCAAATTATACGGCTAACCAATGTTCCCAAGTACCGTAGAATTGTTAAACAAAGGAATCGAAATTTTAAGCCAACATTAAAAACCAAATATCGCAAGTGAATTTGTCACTGTAACCGTATTTTAAATTCTCAAATTAGTCAAGCAATGATATGCGTTTTAACTTTTTACATAACATTAACATTCCGTAACATGAAAGTCATGTAAATAACAAAAGGGATTGGGATCTGGAGCCCGCGAACAGAACAATCTGGACCTTTTAATTTAAATTGTGCTATCCCTATTAGCCATCTCACACATAACGTCTCTCCTCAACGCTCAGATATCTCTCCCTCTTGAATGCTCTGGATTGCCTAGTCCGAAAGGACAGGAATCTGAGATCCAAAGAGGATCTCATTCCCACATCACTCGAATTGGCCAATAATGTGTACGATTAATTTATTTTTATAACTACCAAATTTAAAATAATATACAGGGCAAGCAAAGCAACCCCAGAACGTTGGGTAATTAGAAATTATAAGACAAAAATCAAACCCAGCAAATCCTTTCTTCTCACAATTAACAATTAACAATTAACAATCAACAATTAACAAAAAGTCAAAAACAAAAAACAAAACGTAATTTCCAACATTGAAAAACAGCAACTGGAACCAGAAGCATGTGTTTTAAAGAAAACTAATGACAATTATTTGAAAATTTTGAGTTTTAACAATAATGTTAAAATAAAGATAAACTGAATAATACCATGATTGACTTTTTAGTGTAAAAATATAATTTTTCGTTAAAATAAATAGTACCGGAGCTTTAAGTTCCCTATGTTTAATTGTTTGTACAATTTCAAGTAATTTCGTCTCGCAGCAAGAAACCCCAATTCGCTACCGACAATTTACAACGAAATACAAACAATGTCCAGACCTTGTCACATGTACTTCTGGAAATCACGAAGATTCATATGATCCCCCAAATTTCAAAAATTAAAATTAAATAAAAAAAGAAAAAGAAAAAGCTTCTCATTGAATTAATATGAGATTAAATGGTAATTAATATGAATTATGAGATTGGAGAACCTAAATTAAACACCCAAAAGGGACCCAATCACAAATCGAAGCCAAAGTCTTCAACTTCGGAAAAATAAGAAAAAATAAAGAGGAAAGAAAAAGGAAAGCACAAGTTTTCTTCCTTTGAATTCTAATCGCGGGGCTGACAATTAACTCCAGAGCTCCGCCGTCAAATTAATCATCTGTGCGCCGTCACCAGCGTCTCAATGAACCTCAACCCGTCGAATCTCGGCTCGAATTTATCCTTATCCGACGCCGAATTCGAATTTTGTCCGCCGTTCTTCGTCGCCGGGGAAGAAGAACCCTAATCAAATGCAATTAACGCCGTAATTAGATTAAGGTTCCGATATATTAGCAGATCCATAAACTAATTTCATGAAATTTGATGAAAAAACAACACCTTGCAGCAGCATTTTGTAATTTTATGCGTACCTGGTTGGACGGTGACGACGTCGTCAGAGCCACCGTCGAAACGGCGACCACCGACGCGACCAGACTGCCGGACCCCTTCATTGTCGGAGAACTCGAAGTCGACGAGAGGAGAGAAACGGTGCGTTTCGGAGCTCCGAAACTAATGATTCGAATTCAGGTGGTCGAAACCCGACGAGGCTCGCCGGATCTCGGACCCGAACTTTGCGATTTCGTTTTCTTTTTTTCTTAATTTTCCGTTGCGGAGAGGCGTTGGGTGGCGCCTTTGGTGGGCCGTTATTTATACGCGTTCGCGGGTAAAGGGGGACTTCATCGAACCGCATTTAACGGGATTTAATTTTAAAATTTAGATCCGGCTTCGTGTTGAGATTCTTTGCCACGCTGGCGTGTTTTGGTTGGTCGGATAGATGGATGGTTGTGATTGCACGGCGTTTGATTTGCCAAAAAAATCTAAAATCGACAGTTACGTGAATAAACGGGGTAGATGTTCGAAAATGCATCCACTAATTCATATCTTACAATGAATCTAGTGTGGAGGTCAAAACTATTTTTAGACAGAATTAATGCGTGCAAAAAAAAAATTTTGGGTTCCAATCGATTTTCTTTTTTGGCCTAGTTTTGTTATTGAGGCACTATGTCAAGCATTTGTAGGGCATGTTCACATTAAGAAACTGAATGATGTGAGAAGGGTAAGCGTGAGAGTGTGAGGCGTGAAAGTTGGTTTAGTTGATAGAGGTAGGTGCACCATTAGGTTGGGGGAGGGGGAGAGTAGGTTAGAGTGCCTTTTTCTTTGGGTACAACAACGAAGATGCTTTGGTTGTGAGCTGTAACTTACTAAGGAGGGTTGGTCCCTTTAGCTTGGGGAGTTGCGAGTTCTTGGAGGGAAGAAGGGGGGCTCTGGTTGGCTTGTTGCGTTAACGTTCATTTGTTTATGCTCGATGCCGTTTTGGTCAGTCAATCAGCTTGCTCAGTTCTCACGCATGCTATCATCACACATGGAATATTTGAACTTTTTATCTTTGGTTTAAATACATAACTTATGATAATCTTATTTAACATTTTTGTTTTTTTTACAAGGCATTTGATACACAAATTTTACTTTTATTTATCACTTTTTTGAAAATTAAAAGTTCGTTTGGTGACTACTTTTAGTTTCAAAAAAATATTAAATACGAACAAAACTGAAAGTTAAAGATCAAAATAAGACCAAAAAGTGAAAACGCAGTAAACCAGTTTTCACTTTTGGTTTTCATTTTTCTTTTTTCACGCTCGACCTATATGACTCGCTCACAGATGTCGCGAGTTGAGCTCGCCTCCTCTCTCACATGTCATGAGCTCCACCCCTTCCTCTCCATCTCAGACCTCTTGCTCCCTTGTTTCTCTCGATTTGACGGCGGCTCATCTCTCATCTCACTCATAAATTCCTAGAAAGAAAAAAAAAATCATGGGTTTCATCTAAGGTATGAAAATCTCTAGTACTGGGATTGTTGAAAGTGAAAATCAATAGGAGGCGGGAAGCAGTTCAAACAATCCAATTGAGATTGACATAACTCAAAGGCCAACTTAGGGAGATGGCTCGTGTAAGAGATGAGATATCAAATAGAATTTGGGCAGCAACTCATTGATTGATGAAATTTAACTGTTTCATGAAATTTCAATGCAAAACCTCTCCTAATAAAGTGAGGATTAAATGCCGCAAGCCAAATAATTGTTTATGATAAATTTCGTTCTTAGAAAGAACCCAACTAAGAAGATTTTTATGATTATTAGATACGCTTATTCCACAAATAAATAAATCAAACTCAAGACCTATTGATGTCTTTAGTTGTATCAAAGACGGCGAGGAACGCATCTAATAGCGTTGTGTATAAAGTAGTTGGAAACATCGAATATTACGAGGGAGACGTATGAATATGGTCAAAGATTCTTCAGCTCATATTTGGTCTTTCTTCTGATAATGCTGCGGTGTAAGTGGATTTCCTGCCCCTTCAAGCACCAGAGGATTCACCAACGAAAGGGATATAAAGATGAAGCACTAGATGTAATCTTGGACCCCTCTAAAAGGAAGTGCTATTTGAAAGCAAAGTCAAAGAGCTTTAGTTGGGCAGATGAGTTGCGAATCAAAGATAAACCCTTTTTCTTTTAATTTAGTTTAATTGTTTCTTAATCTAAACAATTTCCAAAACTACTAAGGAAAAGCACTACTTATAATTAAACAAGGAATACCACTTAATTCAAAACACGAACTTCCTACATTTACCAGGAAGTTGGATTACTAAAGGGAAACTAGCTTGTAATTCGTTTAAAATCCTTAATCCCTTGTCTATATAAGGTCAATGCAATCTTGAGTCCTGCGTAAATTCGCAATCTTTTCGTTCCTCAATCTCGAATAACTGTGTTTAGTGAGCTGCTCGATTTCTAGGTTGTGAGAATGTCTTTTTTCAGTGGATTTCGTGGAGGCATATGTGGTGACTACTTTGGTGATGATCATGGTTTGCTGCTGCCTATTCGCAAGTCGACAATCAAAGCAAAAGATACTAAGGATGCATTTATTAATTCGTAATCAGATTGAGAGAAATTGGATTAAGGAAGAATTGAAATGAGTTGGAATCAGAATCAGATTCCTGATGGAGTTGTTTACTAAAACTGTCTGGAATCGAAGTAGGAATGATGTTGAATCCGTATAAGTTATTTACTAATTCACTTCAATCGGAATTAAAACTAAGTTAATTACTAAATTGCCCTTACATAAATAAATTATTTGCATACTAATTAATTAAATTAAATTTCTTAATTAAATTTATATAATAAAATTCATCTATATCTTAATTAAATTAAATTTCTTAATCAGATTCCCTTCACCCACCCCTGCCTTTCCAAACATGCCAATTACCAAATCCACTCCCTTATGCCTTTCCTTGCCTTACCTTGTCTAGTTGCACTGCGGTCTCACTGCCATCTCATACCCCAACTATCTTCTTTCATGGTCCGCACTGCACATACCCCAACTATCTTAAGCTTACCCCTTTTATTTTTCCATCTACTTGTCATCTCACTCCATCTATCTCCAACCACACAGCCACTGGAATATACCAACTGTTGGTATATGGTCCAGCCCATGATCAATGTTCTAGATTATTCTAGTAAGTAAGTGAGGTGGTTGGAGCATGCTATACAATTCTAACATGTTATTAAGTTGATGGAAGAAGCCAGAGAGTACTAGCTTCCTTGGTTGCAAATGGAAATATCTAGAAGCTACAATTTTGTGGCTAGTCTAGAATTATCTATGCTAGAGGTTTGAAGAATACACTAGAAACTAATAGAATGCCAAACCCTCACCTATAAATATGGGTGTGATGTTGTAGTGAAGTAACCAATTAAGAACCAAGTGTGAGTAGCAAAGGATCAAGTCCAAAGCTAGAGTTCCACTCTATGAGTGAGAGTGAGAGTGTTCCACTACACATTGTGAGTGAAGTTTAGAGTGATAGAAAATGTGTGTCATACTTTCTTGTATCCATCAAGCATTGTCTTTGGCTTGGTAAGACTACTCTTGTTGTACTTATCTTTTTCATATAGTGAAGATTGATCCTTGTTTCATGGACGTAGGCATAAATTGCCGAACCACATAAATTCTTGGTGTCCATTTTCTACTTTACCTTGTGCATTCTCTACCTTGTAGTACCGACATTCCTAACTATTTTCTTGTCTAGTTGCACTGCGGTATCATTGCTGTCTCATACCCCAACTATCTTCTTTCATGGTCCGCACTGCACATACCCCAACTATCTTCAGCTTCCCCCTCTTATTTTTCCATTTACTTGTCATCTCACTCCATCTCTCTCCAACCACACAGCCACTGGAATATACCAACCACCATAGCAGTGGATCCACCACCACTGCAGCTTCAATTCTAGGTGTTAGAATGTCGTTGAATTGGCAGATGCAGCACCAAACGAGTTTCAAATCCGTTCTTCACCAACGACAACCCATTCCACCAACTCAGTCTTGGAAGCCCATCCATTTAGGGGGTAGTTTGGGTATAAAAGTTGGATTCCTGGAATAGCCTTCTCCCCGGAAACCAAATACCACCTCCATCTAGGGGATCCGATTATGGGAGATTCAAGGATCCAATTCCTAATTTTAAGTGGACCCCATCTTGTTTTTCATTCTGGAAATGTTAGTAAACGGCTTGAATGCCTGGAAAAGAATGCAATTCCGTTTCTTGCCATTCCGTTCTGGTTTGGTAAACACGCCATAAGATTAGTTCTCCAGAATCGGCCAGGAGAGAAGTTATTGTGAGCAAGAAGAATAGAAATGTGGGCAACGCCAACGACTCATCATCACCAGAAGCCGACTTGGCTGTGAAACCGCGAAGATTGGCACCGCCCTTTGCACCTGCCTTGGATGGTTTCTTCTGGTTTGAAACCCTTGTTTTCCAAAATTTTGCTTGATGTTCAGTTCTTTTTTTGTTGTATTTCTTAATATTTAGTGCTTCATAATCCTTTAGTATACAGTTCACGAGGTAAATTGGCTAAAAACAATTCAAAAAGAAAGTTGAGATAGATTAGGGAGATGAACAAAATTTTAGTACTCTTTGTATTAATATGTGGTATGAATGTAAGGTGATTGTAATCAAGTTGATCTCTCAATATCTGTAGAACCTTGGTCATGAGTTATGATAGTTGCCATGGAAATTCATCCATAAGCATATGTTGAAGCCTGCTGAGGTGATACTCCAACTACATAGACACACAAATATCAACTTAGACTCCATGTGTCTCTCGTGCACCTTCTCTTTAGAACCAACCTCTTTTCTCCAGGAAATCCATCTCTGTCACCGACTATTTCACTTTCATTCCTTCTCAAAAACACCCCAAAGGAACGGAAGTGAAATTGTTGGTATCAATATGCTTTGGAGTGGTGAGAGCTGGATTGGGAGGCCAGGGGTTGGGACTTATGTTCGCTTTTATGTGCAATTCAATCATTAGAGACTAAGTTCGAGTCCACATATTTGTCAATTGTTTCACATGTTCTTCATAAATAAAATGCATTGAGTTCTATGGCGGTGCCTCTTCGATTCATGGCGGCAGTTAGGGATTAGAATCATAGGTTAATTTAGTGATGTGAGCTACTTTAGTTATTCAGTTTGGCTTTTTATATTAGCACCCTATAAAATGTTAAATGCACCCTACATTAAAATTTAATATTAAATAGCTTATTTATCCTACTATGCAATGACAATTTTGACCTTATTAGATTAAAAAAAAATTCTATATACA